GCCGCTCGCCGGGTGAAAGCCGCAGAGCCCAGCTAGGGTCGCCAGGTGCGGCGGGGCTCGGAGAGAAGGCGGGGCTTTCAGGCCACCAAGTGAGAGTGACGCCCGGGACCTGGGATGGGGCCAGGTGATGCGCGCTCCCAAGTGGGGCCGGGGCAGCCAGGCGAGGGCAGAACCGGACCCGCGGGTGGGGAAGCCACGGTTAGTGGGCCGGAGCCGGAAACGGCCCGGGGAGGGCGGGTGCGGCCAGGGCCTGGCGGGTGAAGCCGGCAGGAGGGCTGAGCGAAGCCTGGGGGCGGCTCCGTGAGGTGACAGAGCTGGTGTCTAGAAAGGCGGTGTACACCTGAACCTAGCGGTCTAGGAGGCTGAGGCAGCAGGATTGCAAGCCCCAGCAAGACTTAGCGACTTAGCGAGAGATCCTATCTCAAAAGAAAATAAAAAGATCTGGGGCTGCAGCTCAGTGCAAAGCCCGCCAGAAGGTCCAGAGCAGACCATGGGGTGGGCAGAATGACAAATCCAGAGAGTTAGAAGGAACGGGCAAGTTTGGATGTAAGAGTGGGGCTAGCACTGGGCGTGACTGGAAAGGGGGTTCCCCCTGGGCCCCTCTGGTCGCTCACTGCCTCCTCCCTGACCCCACAGCCCCTGCCCGCCGCGGCCGACACCTTCCTCCACTACCGCACCAGCAAGGTGCGGGCGCTCAGGGCCGCGCGGCTGGAGCGGCTGATGCGCGAGCTGGTGTCCGGAGACCGGGAGCAGGACCCTGGCTTCGTGCCCGCTTTCCTGGCCACCCACCACGCCTTCGTGTCCACCGCCCGTGTCCTGCGCTTCCTCCTGCCTCCGCCGCCGCCCCCGCCGCCGCCGCCTCCGGCACTAGGGTCAGTAGCCGCAGGCACCTGCGCGCCCCGCCCCAGAGCCCCTCCTGGGCTTTAGAGCTAGCACCTGCCGCCCCGCCGCAGCGGCCTCCTAACCCACATGACCTGACGGGGGCCTCTTCCCAGGATAGAGCGCGGGAAGACAGAGGGACACGACCTGAGCCTCAACAAGAACCTGAGGTTGGTCCCTGGGCTGCCTGGGCCACCGCAGGGGTCGGGTGTGGGGACCCTAAGTCAGTCAGTGCTCCACCTGCAGGCCTGCGGTGGGAGGGGCGCTGGGTCTGGAAGCAGCGGGTGGAGAGGTCCGGATCTCTCGTCCCAGCTGAGTCGCCCCTCTGGCCAGGGCTGTGGTGTCCGTGCTGGGCTCCTGGCTCCGAGATCACCCTCAGGATTTCCGAGACCCCCCTGCCCACTTGGACCTGGGCCGCATCCGAGACTTTCTGGGCTGGGCTGCCCCAGGGGGTGCGGAGGCCCGGGAAGCGGAGAAGCTCTGGGAAGACTTCTTGGAGGAGGTGGATCCAGAGCAAGAAGAGGAGCAGCCTGTCGTGTGGGCAGGTGAGGGGTGTTGGGCACTAGGGGCATTCTGGGAAGGCCTTTTCTGTACGATCCTGAACTTGCAGTCCTCCTGCCTCAGCCTCCCAGAGTGCTGGGGTTACAGGTGTGCACCACCACACTGGGCTTGAGCAAGGTTTTAAATTTTGTGTGAGCCTCAGTTTCTCCACCTCTAAAATAGTGATCGTAGCTCTTTGTCCAGAGTATCAGCATTTGTCTAGTGCTCCACCTCCATGGAAAGACACCTGGTTTCTGGGCCAATGATCTGGGTTCAAATCCCAGTTTGGCCTTTAGCTGACTGTGTGACCATGAAGAAGTCACTTCACCTCTGTGAGCCTCAGTTTTGTTAACCACAAAATGGGGGCCATATCAGTACTTAGTACATGGGCTTCTTCATTCATTCAACAAATACCCGGCTACTAGTTCTGGCGATATAACAGCAGACCCTGGCTCCTAGTTCCCTTGAAGACTTTGGGTTAAGAAAATAAACAATCAGCCAAACATGGTGGCACACAGCTGTGACCTTAGCACTTAGGAGGCTGAGGCAGGAGGATCACCACAAGTTTGAGGCCAACCTGGGCTACATAGCTGGGATCACAGGTGTGTGCCACCATGCTCAGCTCTCTGGTCCTTTATAGAAAAGGTTTGTGACCTCCAATATAAAGCACTCTTGGGGGCGGCTGGGGATTTAGCTCAGCGGCACAGCACCTGCCTGGCAAGCACAAGGTCGTGAGTTCAATTCCCGGTGCCGGGGAAAAATAAACACAAAAGAAAGCACTTTGGGGGTAGGGACAAATGCCTACAGATTTCACTCCAGTCTGGGGTGAAACGCCACCTCTGCAGAGCAGTTTTCTGTGACATTCTCCCACAAAATCCCCTCCCATCTTGTGCCCTCCTACCTGCAAGGTTTTCCGCACCTCGTTCTGACACCCTTCTTGTTTGATTCCTGCTGAGGGAGAGGAGGATCCTATTGGCCTCAGCCCGGCCGTGTACCTGAGCAGGAGCAGCAGGGATTAGCTGACTGGATAATTGCATCCTGCTTAAAAGTATCAGCTTTCGCCCATCTGTGTTTGATCTGATCAGTGTCACAAAGCACCTAGATCCCTAGTCCTCGCCCTTTAATCCTCAGATTAAACCGCGGCATTCCTCCCTGCTGTACAGAGTAGCCGCTTCTGTGGTCCTGGCGACAGAGTCTGTTATTTGTATAGTTTTAGTCCCTACCTGTTGTGCCCTCCTGGTTATGAAGTATTTCTTGTCCCTGGGCAGCCAGGTTTTCTCCGCTGATTTTAAGTCGTTAGAACTGTGTGTTCTAATGTGGTAGTTTCTAACCCGTGCGGCTATTTCGTTAAAATTACATTTACTTAAGTGAGCTGCACATGGTGGTGCACGCCTGCAATGCAAGCACTGGGGAGGCTGAGGCAGGAGGATCGCCATGAGTTTGAGGCCAGCGTAGGCTATATAGTAAGTTCAAGGCCAGCCTAGGCTACTTAGCAAGACTCTGCCTCAAAAAAACAAAATGAAAACCAAAAAATGCTATTTTCACATCTCCTCATTGTCCCTAAATTGTCCTTTCCACAGTTGTTTCTTCAAACTGGAATACAAAGAAATTCCACTCAGGGAATTTCTTAGTTTTTCTTAATCTATAACAGTGCTGTCCCATTGGCTTTTGCTTGATGTCCCCGGGGGAAAGGCTGTCTGCCCTCACATTGCTCTTCCCTGACCTAGTTGGTTCCTCGTGGTGTCATGTAGCATGTTCCCCCATCCCTCGTAATTGTTCTAAGATCTAAGTATAGATACATTTTCCCCTCAGTGCTCATTTATAAAAACTAATCTTTTAGCCAGGAGTGGTGGTGCACACCTGTAATCCCAGCACTTGGGAAGCTGAGGCAGGAGGATTGCCATGAGTTTGAGGCCAGCCTGTGCTGCATAGTGAGACCTTGTCTCAAAACCAAAAACAACAACAAAAACTAGTATCTTCAGGCAGGAGATGTAGTGGATTATTGGCAGAGTACTTGCCTACCATGCACAAGGCCCTGAGTTCCATCATCAGCAACACACACACACACACACACACACACACACACACACCAAAAAGACCTAAATGTTTTGATGGTATCACAGATGACACTCAGGGGTACTCTATCACATACTATGTATGTAGTGAGACAAGGTCTCACTGTGTACCTCAGGCTGGCCTTGAACTCACCATGTATTCCAGACTGGCCTCAAACTCATGGTGATGCTACTGCCTCAGCCTCCCAAGTGATAAACTTATTCATATATTTGATTTGGGGGACGTGGTGTCACTATGTAACCCAGGCTGGCATCTAACTTGTGATCCTCCTGTTTTAGCCTCTGAAGTGCCAGGATTGCAGATGTACACTGCCATGCCTAGCTTTATTTTTTTATTTTGAGACAGGGTCTCCTTAAGTTGCTCAGACTTGCTTCTAACTTGTGATCCTCCTGCCTCAGCCTCCCACATAGCTGGGATTTCAGATATTTGCCACTGCACCTGACAACAGACTAACGTTTTGTAAGGACCATCTGTCCTAATTTGAATGAGTGATAATTAAACTGACAAAGGTAACTTTAAAAGAACAATAGGAAGGAGGAAAGTGAGAGTCATTCATACAGTGGTCACCTAACCAGTGTCTCTGGGGATGCTAATGTTCCGTCCTGGCTCGCTGGGGCACCTGATGAGAGTGTCCATGCCCGTGCTTGTAGGAGGGCTGCAGGGGAGGTGACAGTGACGTCGTGGGGAAGGTGCCGGCCCCAGACGCCAGCTCCTGCAGGGAGTGCGCTGGCCGTGCAATGGCAGGACCAGAGATGTTGGCCTCGGTGCATTCCAAAGTGGTGTGTGACGTTTGCAATTTCCAAATAAACCCAGGTCCAGACTTCCGTGGTCCTCCCATTCCTGGGGCCGGAATAATTTGTTTCTGAGTACAAAGGTGGAGGTGCAGACTATAGTAGACAGGTTGGTCCATGGCACAGTGATCAAGGGGCATTTGCGGGCCTTGTGGCCCCCCCTTCACGGTGAATAGACCTCCCTTCCCTTAAGGCAAGAGCCGAATTTCCAAAACGTCCTCTTGGTGATGCCACCGGTAAAACTTACTATGGAAAACCATTTCTGTTTATTGAAAACTATTGGTCAGTCGGTCTGTCTGTCTGTCTGTTTGCAACAGGGTCTCGGTATTATAGTTCAGACTGGCCTTGAATTCACTATGTAGCCCAGGCTAGTCTTGCACTCACGGCGATCCTCCTGCCTCAGCCTCCTGAGTGTGCTAGAATTACAGGTGTGCATCATCACGCCCAGCTTCATAGTTTATTTATTTTGTGGGAGTGAGAAGGGAACTCAAGGCCTTTGAGCTGAGCTATATTCTCAGCATTACATTTATTTATTTATTTATTTTTGAAATAATCTTGTCAAGTAGCTAAATTTGGACACAATTTTCGATCCTCCTGCCACAGCCCCGAGACTGCAAGGATTACAGGCGTGCACCACACTGTACCCCCCTCCCATGTGAGATTTCTAACTCTGTCCAACCCTCAGGACCACCCAGGGCCCCCCAGCCCGCCAGACCGGACTCCCCAGAAGGCTTCCCGGAAGAGGAAGGTCCCCAGCGGGAAGGTCCCGAGCTCCTGGACTTTAGCGTGGACGAGGTGGCGGAGCAGCTGACCCTCATGGACGCGGTGGGGACCCAGGCGGTGACAGGTTGGGGCGGTGTGGGTGGGGGTGCACGTTGCACTGAGAACCCATCCCCCACCCCACCCCCAGAAGCTCTTCTCGCGGGTGCGGCCCTGCGAGTGCCTGGGCTCCGTGTGGTCGCAGCGGGACCGGCCAGGGGCCTCGGGCGTTGCCCCCACTGTGCGCGCCACGGTGGCCCAGTTCAACGCCGTGACCGGCTGCGTGCTGGGCTCGGTGCTCGGGGTGCCGGGCCTGGCAGCCCCGCAGAGGGCGCAGCGCATCGAGAAGTGGATTCGGATCGCGCAGGTAGGCATTGAGGGGCGGGGCGGGGCGGGGCGGGGGCGGGGCCGAGGCAGCGTTTTGCCAATAAGAGCCCTCGGTGGGAGGGGCCAAGGGCAGCAGAGGTGGCTGGAGGAGCCGCAGAAGTGGACGAGAGTGAGGGTCCCGCCAGGGTCAGAATCATAGGATAGGCCCACCATCATCCCAGCACTGGGAAGGCTGAGGCAGGAGGATTGCTGAATTTGAGGCCAGCCTGGGCTACACAGTGAGTTCAAGACCAACCTGGACTATGTAGCAAGATCCTGTCTCAAGAAAAAAAAGTCACAGAATCTAAGGTGGTCGGTGGCTGGGTGTCAGATGTGGGGTGTGACGAGCAGCTCCACCTCACTCCAGCGCTGTCGGGAGCTTCGGAACTTCTCTTCCCTGCGCGCCGTCCTGTCCGCCCTGCAGTCAAACCCCATCTACAGGCTTAAGCGCAGCTGGGGGGCCGTGAGCAGGTGAGCTGGGCTGGGAGACATTAGGGGCCACCCCATCCCCGTTCTGACACCGCCAGCCACTGGGCCCCTGACCGCCCTCTCTTCTCCCCCCAGGGAACCGCTCTCCACCTTCAGGAAGCTTTCGCAGATTTTCTCTGATGAGAACAACCACCTCAGTAGCAGAGAGATTCTGTCCCAGGTACAGACGACTGGGGAGCATTCAGTTGCCCAGGGTGGGCTCGGAACTTGCGATCCTCCTGCCTCAGCTTCCCAGAGTGCTGGGGTTAAGACCCAGGCCACCATTCCCATCTCCAACAATTTTATTGTGTCTGCTGTTTGCATTGTACGTACTCAATAACAGCCTTATTTATTCATTCAACAAAATACAAGGAGCAACAAGGAAAAGGTTACTTCAGGCCAGAGTTACAGCCAACTGGGATTTTTTTTTTTTTTTTTTTTTT